TTTGATACCATCTTTACATAGGATGCAGGATCCTCTGAGACCTCTCACATCTACTCAGTGTTCTCTTTCCATTGGGTGCTGTGAATGACAGTAGACATTGTTACTCCCTAAAGGCTATAGCACTTCTCAGCTTCAGCACCAGAGTACAGGATTACGAGGGAATAAGGAAGGAAGATAATCACACAAGAGTAAGGAAACAGAGAGAGAACACCATGGAAGAGGAAGAGAAAGAGAAGTTTCATGATATTCCTCTTGTACTTGATATTGAAAAGTGGCATCCATCCTTCTTCACTCACTATCCATATGGTTCCAGTCAAATAAGTATGTCAGACAAAGTCAAGAATTGGGCCTAGAGTAAGATAATTGACAACGAAAGATAAAGAAAAATAAGGAAAAATTAGAGGATGAGGGGGATATAAGGAAGAAATAGATATAATTCATGTAGAAATAGAGTGCAAAACCCAAAACATTAAGGAATATATACCTCATAAAAGGGGGGGGGAGGGTCGGGGCAGGGCACAGAGACAGAAAGATCATTAACAGGGACAGTAATGAGGTGTGCGTATGCAAGTTACAGCTTGACCTGACTAGAATATGGGATGCCTTGTGCATGCACAGAGTGTGAACTGCCATGTTCACAGGGCCACAACTTTTCACCTAGCACAACTTTTGACAAATGTGTATCGCCGTGTGTTACTATACATGACTGTAGATAAATATGTCACGATGCGTACTAGAATTAATTGGTAAGTATGTAATTAAAATGCTCTTCTACTTAGAATACAGTAGTATTAAGTAAGTTTTTTTGGATCACGTTCTCTCGCGAGGACTTGTGTCCGTTTGGGCATAGTTGCAAACCGTAAGTGCTGTTCAGCCACTCGGAGGGTGAGATGGCCTCTCACCATCTCTGTTCATACAGCTTAGCCAGGGGTTGTGCCACCAACCTCCATCATCTATGCTCCGCTGCTACCCATTTGTCTCTACTGTTTCCTCTTTTGTGGGGATACTTGAAAATACAGAAGCAAGTAAGTGATGCAAAAACATGACTAACCCATACGCAAATTCCTACTGGGAAATCTGCCAGGTTGCTATGGGAAACACACACTGCAAGGAGCATCTGCTCCCTGGCTTTCCTCCTCTGTCCTAGCACATTCACTTACACTCTCAGGAGGTTTAGATAGACTGTCCTCGCTGACATGTGGAAATATGCTAACAGGGTCTGATACCCTTTCACAAATACTGGAATTTGTACCTTTACTTTCTTTTGTCCACTTGGCCTGACAAGAAATCTGACCCATGAAAAATGAACATGGGAAATCTATGTCCTTGTATGATGACCATTTCTGCAAGAACAAGACACAATTTCAACTGGCCATAATATCACATTTCTATTGCCACTTGTGACTCATGCAGACCATACAAACCTTACCATCTCAAACACAGGAGAACCCAGTGATACTTAATATATATTTTAGATCAGTCACCGCTTAGAACACATTAGATGCAAACCTTCAGTCTTCCCTGCATGCCATCTCCAATGCCTCACACATGATTACAGAGAGGGTCACTTGTCATTCTTCATTCCTGTCACACAATTTTCTAAACAAAACAAGCTCATCCCATAAAGTGCTCTTTTCCTCACAGATATCCCTAAAATCCAAACACCCTGGAAACAGCCTGTTGGTTTGATATATCCACAGCATCTACAGTCTAGTTCATCAGATAGGAAAACAGCAAAGCCTGATTACTAATCCATGTTAGACAGGCACAGTGTAATTTCATAGGAAGAATGTTTCAGTCAGATACATGACCCAAACATCTTTTCTGCAGAAGGGCATCTTCCAGTAAATTGAAAAAATACTTGTTTTTTGGCAACTGACACGCTAGTGGACATGTGAGGTTTTTTGTTCTTATGCTTCACCTTCAATAGCACATATTCTCAAGACTAGGTTTCTTTAGCCAGAATATCTGTGACCTTTGTCTTTTGTTTTTTTATTTCCAAAACCTAGGTTTGTGTGGCAAGGTTTTGATGGTGGAGGAGATATAAGGGTGGCTTCCATAGGAAGCTGCCAGAAGCTTCCCCTGTGTCTGACAGAGCCAGTGCCAGAAAACTCCAACAGACCCACTGCTGGCCAAGGCTGAGCCCATCAGCAATGATGGTAGTGCCTCTGGGAATAAGGTAATTAAGAACGGGGTGAAAAATATGAAACAGAAGAGACAGGGGGAAGAATATGTGAAAGAAGCAGCTGTGTGGACACCAAGGTCAGTGAAGAAAGAGGGGAAGAAGGTCCTTCTGACACTGGAGCTGAGATTCCCCTGTACACCATGGTGAATCAGGCTATCCACCTGCAGCCCATGGAGGTCCACGGTGGAGCAGAGATCCACTTGCAGCCCATGGAGAAACCCACACTAGAGCAAGTGGAAGCCCAAGGGAGGCTGTGACCCTGTGGGAAGCCCATGCTGAAGCAGGCTCTTGGCAGGCATTGTGGGGCCATGCAGAGAGGAACCCATGCTGGAGCAGGTTTGCTGGCAGGACTTGTGACCCTGTGGAGGATCCATACTGGAGTATCTGTGCCTGAAGGACTGCATTCCATGGAAGGGTCCCACTCTGGAGCACTTTGCAAAGAACTTCGCCTGTGGAAAGGACTCATGTTGGAGAAGTTCATGGAGGGCTGTCTCCCGTGGGAGGGATCCCATGCTGGAGCATGGGAAGAGTGTCAGGAGTCCTATCCCTGAGGAGGAAGGAGCAGCAGAGACAGTGTATGATGAACTGCCCACAACCCCCATTCCCCACCCCCTGTGCTGCTGGCAGGAAGCAGAAGGGAGAGAATTTGTGAGTGAAGTTAAGCATGTGAAGAAGGTAGGGGTGGGAGGAAGGTGTTTTAAGGTTTAGCTTTTATTTCTTATTACCCTGCTCTGATTTCATTGATAATAAATTAAAATAATTTCCCCAAGTCGAGTCTGTTTTGCCTGTGACAGTAATTAGTGAGTGATCTCTCCCTGCCCTCGTCTAGACCTACGAGCCTTTCAATATATTTTGTCTCCCATGCCCAGATGAGGAGGGGAGTGATAGAGCAGCTTCGGTGGGCACCAGACATCCAGCCAATTAGACAGTAACAATGCTTAATTTTTTCTTCTCCACAATGCATAGTTACCTAGTCTGGACATTGAACATATGCTTCCTCTGCTTTAGTATCTCAGTGGGAGCTGCTAATGATACAATTAAACAGGCAGAAACACACATTCAGGAGTAGCCTATGACACAGAAAACCGGTGATAAAAAAAAAAATGGATAGCCATACCTTTCAAAAGATCCTATTTTTTTGGCCACTAGTAGTTTAATTGTGATTACTTACATTACAGCAGAACCTGGCCCTAGAAATTAGGCATGCCCATGCTGCACCAGGCACTGTGCAGATAGAGCAGGAAGAGAGAGTGTAACGAAATGGCATAATTTGCTGGTCATTGTGATAAAACCGCAGCTACTTGTTTCTCAGGAGTAATGTTTATTGCAGGAGTGTTTTAGGCACTGTCGAAGAAAGAATTAGCACGCTGTGAAACTGTAAAAGGGAAGCTCCTTGCACACTGTAGAGGATTCTTGTACAGGATTCAGAAATACTTAACAGATTTCATAGAATCATAGACTGCTTTGGGTGGGAAGTGACCTTGAAGTTCATCTACCTCCCGCTCCCGCAGCCTCTCCTGCTCCCACCCCGCCGCCCCTCGGCGGTGACGCGCGGGCGCGCCCCCGAGCACCGCCCACCGCCCGCGCCGCTCCCGCTCGGGGCCGAGCCCGCGCCGCGCTCGCGGTCGTGCGCCGCCTGCCGGGGCAGGGAGGCGGTGCCCGCGCACCGGGCTCGCACACGCGGCGGGCGCAGGCGCGGCGGGGCGGGTGCCCGCGGCGGGGCGGGAACGGCTGCGCCCCGCGCGCCCCCGCCGTGCGCGCCCCCCGAGGTGGGAGAGGAGGGTGGTAGGGGCCGGCGCGCCGCAGCGCCCCCCTCCCGCCTCGCCTTCGCCCCCGCCTCCTCCTCCTCCTCCGCGCTCCCCGGGCACGGGCGCGCCCTCTGCTCGCACCGCGCATGCACGCACTCCCACCCCCGCCCCCGGCGCGCGCGCGCGCACTGGAGTGCTCGTGCAGGAGGCGGCGGTGACGGCCGGAGAGACGCGCGCAGGCCCCTCCCGAAGCCCCCTCCCAAATTCCCCCCATTCCCTCCCTCCTTCCCTTCCCTTTTCCCCGTGCCCCTCCCGCGCGGCGGCGGCGGCGGCAGCGGAGCCCCCCCGCGCTCCCCGGGAAGCGCGGCTCCGCGCGCGCGCGCGGGCGGCAGGTAAGCGCGAGCCCTCTCCCGGTGCCCCCCCGCGCCGCTCCCGCGCGGCGCTGCGCGCGCGCGCTGTCCCTCGCGCGCCCTCTCCTTCCCTCCCTCCCTCCGCCTCCTCCTCCTCCCTCCCCTCCCTCCCCCGCTCGCGGCCGCCGCCGTTACAGCCCCGGCAGCGCGCGCTGGGTGAGATGGCGGCGCCGCGGGCGCGCCCGCCGCCCTGGAGCCGTCGCGCGCCTGCCTCCCGCAGGCGATGGGAGGGAGAGGGAGAGGAGAAGGAGGAGGCGGAGGAAGAGGAGGACGCATCCAGCGATGGATGCGCTGTGGCGCGCGGGCCCCGCGCGCTGCAGCGGCCACCGCAACAAAGGGGCGCGCGGCCGCATCCAGGCGGCGGGAGCCGTTGGAGCGAGGGAGGGAGGAAGGGAGGGAGGGAGCGAGCGAGCGGGGCGCCGTCCTTGCGCAGCCCCGTGAGGAGGCGCGGCGGGAGCGCCGGGCTCGCTCCGCAGACCAGCCGCTGCCGCTCGCGGGCGCCCCCGACGCCGGTCCGGGAGCGCGGTCGGCGCGGCAGGAGCTGGGCTGGTCCCCGCCGGGAACCCGCCCGCGCCGCGTCCCCGCCGGCGGGTGCGTGGAGCGGGCGTGCGCCTCCGCGGCCACGGGCACGGCAGCCGCGGGAGCCGGCGTGGGCAGGCACCGAGCGCATCCCGAGCAGGCACAGCCTCCAGGACACACCTCCCCACGTCCCGGCGGTGGTAGCTACGGCTGTCTAAAAAAGTGTGTGAAGGAATAAATCAGAATTAATTCAGACGGTTACCTCAATAATTAATTCTCCCTTAGTAAGTGTCAACAGACCTGAAGCAAAATTGCATATTGTTTAACAGAACAGGGTGCAATTGCTGCTAGATTATTAACAGTGACGTTTTGCTACTTGTTTGAAGAAAAAGCATTTTTTCCCAGTTTGCAAGGAGCTCTAAACATATCCTGTTGAAATGGTGGTTGTCCTGCCCTCTTTGGTGCTGAACTGATACGTTTTCCTGGGCCAGCAGACTCAGCCAGCCCAGAAAAATACACAGGAGTGGTTTTTTGGTTTTGTTTTCTTTTGTGTATTTCAAATATTTATGTAATCCCTATCTGGCTATCTTAACATTAGATTATTTAGGACTAAGAAAAGAATTTTGGTCTCCCAAAGTGGAAGTTGCCTACCTGTCATCATGCCTGTTGTAGAATGTCATAGAATATAGGAAAGAAGTTCTCAGCAGCACTGTGCCAGGTGATGGAAGATTTGTTCTGAACCATTATTAAATTTCCCTCCTTTCTTTTATATTTCCATCTTCTGTCACAATTAGATGCCAGCAATTGGGATTGAATAATTTGAATTATGTGTCTTGTATTATCCTTCTGCTCTTCGGGTATCTCCATTGTTTGGAGATCTGGCACACTTGGTATCTCTTTCCCTGGTCCTTGATGCTCATCCACCCATAGCACAGTCTGCTGTCCTTTGGAATGCCCAGTCTGCTTGCCAGACCGTCTGCTAGGCTTGTTCAGATCTCTGGTTCAGCAGGAGACTAACCACCTTCTTGATGGGTTGGTTACTGGATTGACTAGTGATTCCTGTGGAGGTTTTTCAGACTTTTTGATGTAGTGCAAAGTAAGTAGCAGGAAAGTGGAGCCAGGGAAATGCAGTAGCCAGAGGAAAGTAACACATGATTTATATCAACAATGCTGTCAGATCAGTTTATCAAGTAGAACTGTAGTACCACTGAAAAATTACTGAGTATTTTAACAGTGCATTCTGTCTAACATAAAATAATTGAAAGTGCTGTGTTTTAACTCACAAATTAAAAATAATTTTTTAATAGATCTTATAATTTCTTGAAGTGTTATTACCTTCCTGTCTTTCAGGCTGAAAGTGGCCCAGTCTGAGGGCTAATCTATCAAATATTTAATAATCACTTGCTCAGAAAATTTCCCGCGTTGTTCATGGTAAGTCTTGTATTTGATATTTCACATTTAGTTTGTTGGGCTGACACAGAGTATTTCTTAAACATTTTTAGTATTAACGTTTGCTTTAGCTGTAAGAATTCCTTAAGAGTTGGATCATACATTTACTGAGAATTGCAGTTTCACAGAGAAGGTTTCCAGTTTTGTATAACTGAATCAATAAATAAAACTGAATCATTGTAAAATGAAAGGGAAAGATCTTTATGTATTCACAATTTTATAATAAGTTTCAGAGTATTGCTTGTATAATCTAAAAGCTTTTTCTGATCATATTAAGAAAAAAATTATTTGACAGTTTTTTTAGTATGTAAATGGTTTCATCCCTTGGGATTTTATGACTCAAACTGCTTTATAAAAATTACAAAACTTTCCCTTGTTATTTTACAGGAGTTTTTCATCAGTATGTCTGAAACCATTAAATATAATGACGACGATCACAAAACTGTGTTCCTGAAAACACTGAATGAACAACGTTTGGAAGGAGAATTTTGTGACATAGCTATTGTGGTTGAAGATGTTAAGTTCAGAGCCCATAGGTGTGTGCTTGCTGCCTGCAGTACCTACTTCAAAAAGCTTTTCAAAAAACTGGAAGTTGATAGTTCATCAGTAATAGAAATAGATTTTCTTCGTTCTGATATTTTTGAGGAAGTTCTCAATTACATGTATACTGCAAAGATATCTGTTAAGAAAGAGGATGTAAATTTGATGATGTCTTCAGGCCAGATCCTCGGTATTCGATTTCTTGATAAACTCTGCTCTCAAAAACGTGATGTTTCTAGTCCTGAAGACAACACACAGTCCAAGAGCAAGTACTGTATAAAAATAAACCGTCCTATGGGAGAACCCAATGATACACAAGATGATGAGGTGGAAGAAATTGGAGATCATGATGACAGTCCATCAGATGTGACAGTGGAAGGAACTCCCCCAAGTCAAGAAGATGGAAAGTCACCAACTACTACCCTGAGAGTGCAAGAGGCAATTCTGAAAGAGTTGGGAAGTGAAGAAGTTCGAAAAGTAAACTGCTATGGCCAAGAAGTAGAGCCTATGGAAACAACTGAATCTAAAGACTTAGGATCTCAGACCCCTCAGGCTTTGACATTTAACGATGGCATAAGTGAAGTGAAAGATGAACAGACACCAGGCTGGACCACGGCAGCTGGGGATATGAAGTTTGAGTACTTACTTTATGGTCACAGGGAACATATTGTATGTCAGGCTTGTGGCAAGACCTTTTCTGATGAAGCGCGATTGAGGAAACATGAAAAGTTACACACTGCTGATAGGCCATTTGTTTGTGAAATGTGTACTAAGGGCTTTACCACTCAAGCTCATTTGAAAGAACACTTGAAAATACACACAGGTTACAAGCCTTACAGTTGCGAGGTCTGTGGAAAGTCTTTTATTCGTGCACCAGATCTAAAAAAGCATGAAAGAGTTCACAGTAACGAGAGGCCATTTGCATGCCATATGTGTGATAAGGCTTTCAAGCACAAGTCCCATCTCAAGGACCATGAAAGAAGACACCGAGGAGAGAAACCTTTTGTCTGCAGTTCCTGCACTAAAGCATTTGCTAAGGCTTCTGACCTAAAAAGGCATGAGAACAATATGCACAGTGAAAGAAAACAAGTTACTACAGCCAATTCCATCCAGAGTGAAACAGAACAGTTACAGGCAGCAGCCATGGCTGCAGAAGCAGAGCAGCAATTAGAAACTATAGCTTGTAGTTAAAAACTAAAGCAGAAACTTTATCAGAAATAATATAAGAAATGAACAAAATCTGTTGTTGATATACATTTAGACTGAGAATTTTTTCAAGAAAGCATATTTTTAGAGGATTGAATGTTACATAGGAATACATAGCATCGCTTGGTTAGGTATTTTAAAACATTTCAGAGATGGGTATTCTTAGAATGTGAAGCAGTTTTTGTTGTCATTAGCAGTATAATGCACTAATACCTGCTTTAATTTGAGAATGTGATCAAGTTCTCTATAAAACAGGGATCATTGCTGGTTGATACTTACTCCGTTCAGTATGGAATACTGCATACAACATAAACGTTGCAATCAGTGAGAATCAGTAAGTTTGAAAACGCTGAAATCTCAAAAATCACAAACGTGGAAAGGAAATACTTGGTTTCCATAATTCTGAAGGTGTTACAATTTTTTGAGAAGCAGACATTGATTACCTAAGCTTTTTAATTCCTCCTTTTTTCACTTAATCTAGGTAGGTACAATAGAGTGTAAGGGGGATGGTGGTCAAAATGAAGTTGCTTCTTAATCCATTCCCCCAGATACCCTCTTACTTTAATCAAGGTGGCAAGTTTGATGAAATACTTGATTTTTTGAAAAAACTGCATTATTCACAGTGATTCTGGCTGGTAAAGCAGCAGTGTCATGGCATTCACCAACCCCTTCAGTGGGTAAAAAAATCTGCCTCATTTGTTTTTATGTTCACTCTTATACAGGGCCCTGGAGATGGGACTGAGCCACAAAGGAAAAAGGGTGCAGCATGGATGAGGCATGTTCCTTACTCAAATCTAGTAGAAATCAGTTAAAGCTAATACAGCCTGAGGCTGTGGGTTTTATTATGCAGCTTTCAGTTCACCTAATGTAGCACAGTGAAGGCAAAGGAGTGTTTCTGGGAGCACAGGAGGTTTAGCTGCACTGGCAAGTGACCTGTCACTGCCAGACTCCTGGAGCTGCAGAGCACAGCCACAGGCTGTCACATACCTGCCCACAGTGTTCAGCTGGGGATTGTGTCATGGCTTGTCATACTAGCTCATAGGTCCTGTTCAAATTTAAAAACTTCCACCTTCTGACTCACCACCTCTCAGCAAGAGAGACACTTCAGTGAGTGAATTCAGTTGTAATTGATCCAGAGTGAGTGTTCGCTGTTAGTTGGTTGCTTAGTCTTGCCTATTTTTTTTTAAGACAAGCTGGCGTACATGCTGCTAATTTAATAGTTAACTCACAGAGTCAACAAAATAGGTTGTCTTTGGATTGCAATCTCCTATGTGTAGTCAGCAAGAGAAGACATGATAACAGTGGTAATGGTAATCCAAAGGGATTTTGAGCCTTTATTTTAAATTTGTAAATACTACTACTGTTGTGAAAACTTCATTTGAAGTTGGAATGGGAAAAAAACCACACTCTTGGGCACATTGTAGTAACATTGGTCACTTGCAATACCTATAGCATATGGAAGTGTTAGATCAGTTTCTGGTAAGTTACTGTGTGGTACATCACATCTTGCTTTTCTAAAAAGAAATTTTAAAAGTGTTTTTGGAACTGTTATATGGAACTTCTGTTATTGGGATTTTTTTGTTTGGTTGAGTTGGTTTTTTTTTACAGCTTCATTTTATTCATGTACTCATCAGGTTAAACAGTTATCTTAAAATGCCAGTAATTGTTTGAATGCTGGTCTGTAAATAAAACATGAACTTAATATTTTAGAAAATGTAAACTTTGGACCTTTACCAATATATTTTTTTAAAATGTTGCTTCATTTTACATTCAGTAATATTAGTTTGTAAACAAACTATACATTTTGTACCTGTGCAACATCAGAGGATGTGTATTCATTGCATTTTATTGGTTCTCTTGAGGAACATGATAAATGACCATTGTTAAAATGTTTAACTGTATATGATCACAGATATAAAGATAGTAGGTCCAAAATAGGATCTACTTTTTTTTCTAAAAATATTAGTTGTGCTATGTTTTTTTATCTAAAATTGTCTTCACTTTTTCCTAGATTAAATTGGGGTTTATAAAACTGTACAAAAAAGATCTGTTGTGATAAGAGTTCAAAGGTGTAAAACGTGAAGAAAGTAAATTTTCTCTAGGTCTGCTATGAAGAGCGCAAGAAGCAATGAGCTTAAATTACAGCAGTAAACATTTACGTTAAAAAAGAAAAAAACCTTTTAAAGGGTTTAAGAATGAATTACTAGAACAGAATGCCTGGGGAAGCATTGCAGTCTCCACTAGTGGTGACATTCAGAAATGGGTTAGACAAACATAGGTTAGAAATGGTTTAAATATGGTTAATTCTGCTTTGAAGCTGAGGGGTAAGCTGAAAAACCTCTCAAGAACAGCCTCATTGGTTTGTTGTTGGGGAGGGGTGTGTGGTTTTTTTTTTTAATTATTTGTTTGTTTGGTTGTTTTTTTGGAAAATAATAAATTAAAATGGATCTCATGGGGCAGCACATGCTTGAGTACAGAGACAGAGCTCAAGTCTTGCAGTTAAAAGAATACTGCCCCCTGATTTTTGAGCACAAGCAGTCAGGCTGTGAATTTGAAATTGTTATAGAAAAACAGGCTTACATTAAAAGACTCACTAGGGAAAGCGTGATAACGTTCTGTGTTACATCAGAGTAAATTCTGCTATTGCTAAAGCTTATGACTGGATAACAGCTGTAAGGACTGTGATGTTTGTAGCTTTTAAAAGCTGGGACAGATTGATATTATACATAATCTAATACAGGAGTGTGCAGAGGCATGAACAAATGTTATTGCTCTATGTTCCTTTGTCGCAGCCTTGCTCTTTGGGAAAGGAGCAGACTAGCGAGAGGGTTCTTGCAGATTGCCCTGTGAGGTGGAAGGTTAGGCAATAGCAAGGGCTCCGAGGTAGAGTTCACCCGCAGCTGTGACCCACAAAGAAGACACAGAGACAGTGTGAACACCAAGGAAGCCAAAAGCTAATCCAACTTTATTAACAAAATGGAGGGTTTTTATACCCCCTGGGAAAGAACTGTCTGGAAAAAGGGGAGGTAACAAGGTGGAGCATGCAAATCCGCCACATTCTATAGGGTAACGGGGATTACATAACCAGGAATGGGTGTCAACTGGGGAGGAGAAAACTTAGGAGAACATGATTGGAGAGTACCTTATGGTAAACTATCCAATGGGGGAAGTGTTGCCAAGCCTGACAGGGCTTATCGGCTAGGGGAAGAAGAAGGGAAAATGGAGGGTAGGTAACCTAATAATAGGTTTTTAAGTTCAACACACAAGCTACTGCACAACAGTCCCTGGGGTTGATTTCACAGTCCTGGTTCCATATCTTCTCTTTGCACCTTCCACGCATCGAAGTTGGTGTTGATATCCATGGTGGCGTAGACCCCGTCGCCAACATTCCTTGGACAGGTATAAACACCTTGTGTGAGACTTGGTCTTAATAGTCTATGACAGGATCTGCCTTCATGTCAAAGGTTTTGAAAGGGGCCTCAACCTCCTACTAGTTTTTAGGTGCTTAAGAATCAGAAGACTCCTGTATGTTCCTGAGACCAATGTTGACAATACTGGTCAAGAAGGCAAAGGCTCAGTTATATTTCTGAAGTTGATTGAGAATTTTATTGGCAATTTCTACCACCACCGTCTGTTTTAAGGATGTGAAGTTACCTTCTTTTTTCTTTTTTTGAAAGCCAGTGGATACTTTTTTTTCTCCCCAATTGTTTTTACTCAAGGTAGAGAGAAGGCCTAGAATACTTAAGTTTATAAAGTTTTGGAAAAAGGTTTCAGAAAGAAGGTGCCAATGTAACCTTAGCTGTTTATGGGTCATAGTTAATGTGTTCTAAGTTAACCTGTTTGTTATGTATGTCCTGAAGGGTGGTTTACTTATATATTGTGGGGATCTGTCTGTGAAGTTCAGGTAAATCTGTCTGCATCTGAAGACACTACTTACTGCTCCTGTCTGTCTCCTGCCTGTGCCAGAAGACGTCACGTATAAAAGCAGGTGTGCGTCAGCTCCAAGCCACCGAGGTTTTCCAGCCTGATAAACTGTAAGCTGTAAACCATGTTGATTGAGTAACGGGCAAACTTTTATTTTTGCTTTTACAAGGATGGCATGACAGTTTCTTTCAGAGTTTATGAGACAGTGAATGAGGTTCTCTCTGACTAATGGGAATTTTGCTGTTGACTGTATTGGGGCCAGAGTAGTCTTACAGCAGGCAATTTAGCTAATTGGTGTGCATGCAGGAATGACAGAATGCTGTAGAAAATAGATGGTTAAAATAACGTTGAATATGGATTTTTTTTTTTTCTGAATTAAGTAGCAAAAATATGTATGGGATTAGTCCTGAACCTTGTCAATCTGTGGTTTATGAGATCAGAGTCAATTATGTTTTTAATATACATAGGATAGCAAACACTCGGTTACTCTCTTTGGCTGACATTGAAACTCCATCCACCTTTTGATGTTATGTGACCATGTGGCTTCAGTGGAACCCTTTGTATATGGGAGTTAAGTATATGAATAGGTGTTTGGTAAGCAGGGCTTACATGTATACAATGCAGCAACATGTTAGTTAATGTGAAATGAGCTGCTTCTGGTGGTTGTCTTGTGTAAGGTCAACACCAGATGAGACACTAAACCACAGTCCTCTCAGCTGTAAAACCATCTAAATACTAAGGAAGTATAACAATTTGATTAAAAGGCTTTTGCTTTAAAAGACTAACTTAGAGTGAAAAGAAATGTATGAAGAAAGGACTTTGCTATTCTGAGATCTTAACTGAGTGTTCTTAAAACAGATTGGTGTTTTTTGTTTGGCTTTTTTTTTTTTTTTTTTTTTTAAGAGAAGAAGGTAGAAAACCAACACACATTTTGGCCTGTGATATCCACTAAATTTCTCGTCCTAATTGCGTTAGCCATGGGTATGCTGCTGATTATTTGACACAACTCAGTTTGGAAGCTAAATGCTCAGGAAGAATACCTTTCAGCCCTTCTTCACTCCCCACCCTTTCTTTTACATGCTGTTCATATATCAATAGTTAAAAAAATAATAGAAAATGAAGCAACTCACAGTTGAGTGAGTACTTTTGGTTTTGTTTTTCTGCTTAATTCTTTTAGAAAGATTTAGACCTGGAGATCAGAGTTTTAAAGGTCATTTTGTGAAAGGAAATGCCTCATACTCACTTCAGTAGCAAAAGTGTGAGGGGATCAGTTTCTGTTTGTTCATTTAAGCTACAGGATACTAAATACTTTGCAAAGTCTTGCCATTTAGGTATCCAGATGAGTTCTTTTGAAGATCAGGCCCCAGTTTTCTAATGTAGATATTACTTTCAAGATTCCATTAAGTAAGAATACTTAAAATTAATAGAGTCTGTGTGAGATACAGAATAAAATATCTGATTATGTCAGAAAATCTACCCTAAGGTTAGAGTATATTTTTAGGGACAGATTATCTTTTATTAAGTATTTTATAAATTTAGACACCTCTAGGCTTACAGAAGGGACAAAGCATTTATGCAAGAGAGTACATCTACTGCTTACAACAGATGACTTTTCTGAATGTAAACATTTGCAGATTGGTACAGAGCAGAATAATTCTAACTGGAAGGTAGACAGATCTATGGAATTTTCATCTTTTTCAAACAGCTACTCTTTAGATCAAAGCAGTATGTCCAGTCAGCCAGAAGCTTGCACATTTCATTAAAAATTCAATTACTGCAGTTGGTCTGTCATTTGTCTTCATATAGATCTAAAACAATTATAAGATTCTTACTCATTTCAGAACAGACGGAGAATTTCCATTAATAGATTTATTAAATGTGTCATAAGAGTTGAGACACCTATTCTCAGGAATGATTTTTAAATGTAATACAAAAATCTGAAATAGCCAGAAGTAGTGATTTATACAGTATTGATGTGTTTTCCAATGTATTTCTCTCAACTGTCTTATACTTTTTTATTTAAATGCCCTGCATTTAGATATTTATAGAAGTCTGAATGAACTTCAGTGGTTCCAATATGAACAGCACTGCTGCTTTTTAAAAAAAAAACAAACTTCTGAGTCTTACTGATATTTTTAAGATTCTCTAGCTAAACATCTAATCTTTTATAGGTAAACTTGAAAAACATGTGGACCTTATGAATCAAGCTGTACCACATCTGACCACTTTGGCATATGTGTATCAAAAACCGTGGCCAAAGCAGAACTACTTGATACCTGTATCTCAGATCCCTTCCATGAATTTTTTAAGTCTACAGTTCTTGAAAGAGCACAAGTTTGTAAAACACATGGTACTAACAAGAAATTAGAATTCTTACTGAATTGAAATTCCAAATGTATTTTTTTTAATAATACAGAGCCATTTTGAAGACCTATAGAAGACAGTAGCTACATGTTACATATTATGCAATAAATAGATTTAAAGTTGTATTTTCATTCACAACTAAGATAAGTAGATATAATGCATTGTATATAGGTAATCTTTATGAAATCATTAAATCATGAGAGCAATTTTCTACTTTTTCCACCAAAACATGAGAGTTTTACTTCTGTTTAGAAAAATGTTTTTTTCTTATGCAAACCCTTCTGTTGAAAACAATAACCAAAACCACCCAAGCCCTACTGTGCCTACACTTGTTTTCTGACCTCTTCCCAATGGCCTATTAATACATTTAAGTAATCTGCATATGCTAAGAACTTGGAGTATTTTTGTCTTTCAAAATATTCTAAAAACCAAGCTTCCCTGCATCTAAGTATTCATTCTTCAGTAATAAAAATACATTTTGTTTTCAGGGTCCAGGGTAGTACAAACAGTGCTTACAGGAACAAAGCACTGTAGTGGCACTGCAAATTGATCAAACAGGAGGATGGGTTATACTAGAGCTCCACTCTGAGATCAAAACCTCACTTCTTTCTACTACAGAATTTGGAAATGGTACTGACACAAGATTGTGTGTACTTCCAGGCAGGAGGTTCTCTTCAAGGGAGGTTATCAGTTATCTGCAGATGATTTATGTCTGTTTTGTACTCATCATCAGCATAATTGAGGTTTACAGAGAAGAGTTTCCAGGACAATGCCTTTCAAAATATTAGTTGTTTCTAATTTTGCATACTGTCAGACCTTATTCACATGTTCCTGTTGTGTTTAAGGTTGCATGGGCAAAGTAAGGGAGAACTGTTGGTGTAAAAGCAAGAAAGTAGTGGGAAAATATTCTAAACACTGCATTTATTAAACTTTATTGCAAATTGAGTGCAGTTTTGTATTTAATACATTTAGGATACATTATATTAAAGAATATGTTTTCAATGCTTAAGCCACTAGTCTCAGATCATAATTTTTTTATTTGTTTCCATATACTTTAATCTCCAGCATTTAGAATTGGTGTATAGCTTTAGTTTCTCTGGCTATGAAAGCCATGAACTGTCATGAACTCTGATGCTCGATATATCTAATTATACTGACTGTCTGTATCTAAACATATTTAGCACTTTATTGTTTACACCTGGGCATCCATCTTCTTTGTATTTCAGAAAGGCCCATTAGCAATCTCCCATTTCCTGTTACAAAATAGCTGAAGTTTTTGTAAGATTTGCTTAGGACACTAAGGAATGTTTTCTCGGATGCCAGTAGAATTTGATCCAATTGCTTTGCAAAGATGTAAAATGAATAGAGAGTGACTTCCTGTGTATGGAAAAACAGTTTACAATGAAATGTTTGGGTTTTTAAAAATTTAAGCATTGTTTTTATTTGTTTCTTTTCTGCTATAAAGCTTGCTGTTTGAGAGTACAGTCTTCTAAAGGCACAACAAAGTATACTTTGTATGCTAAAGCTTAACTGTGCTGAAACGGTGTCTTTTCCTTCTCAGTTCCTTTCCTGCTCAGAAAGGTGTCTGGTGAGCCTCTCTGTTGGTGTGAGGTAAGTGATCAAAGTATTCAGGTAAGAGCAGGGATGATGGTAAACAGGGAAGAGGAAGGAGCAGGACCTTCTCATTTAAAATGCTGTAAGGAGTGACAGCTCACCCCTAAAGGTTTATAGTGTCGTGACAAAGCTCATTGCTAAGTTATGTTCTTTTATTCCTGTTGAATTCTTTCTTTTTGAGTGCTTTATTTTTGAGGGTAAAGAGGTTCAAGAGAAGCTCAAAACAATTCCACCTGTTTTTCCAGGTAAAATTTACAATGCATAAAACTCTGGTAGATCTAATATTCTGGTTACCTACTCATTAACATGCTGGATAGTATGTACTATTTTATAACAAAGTAATAGCTATTGACTTTAATCCAAAGATGCTCTAGCCTCGTTTCTTTGAGCACAGGAAGAGTGCTCAAACCTATTTGTCTGTCCAAGGTGGTAACAAAAAGAGAGAAGTAATGCACCAAGGCAGTAGGCTTTATGCCCAAGGCACAGCTAAATCATGAGATGTTTCCCTGTTCTCAAGTTAACAAAAGAGCTAAATGAGGTCAAGGAATCACATCCACAGTGATTTAAGACAACCAAAGTTGTGCTTGCTGCAGTTTATTGGGTTTTTTTCTGCCTGCAGTAGCACTCATGTAAGGTCTCAGTGAACCAATTCATGGAGAGCTGAAGCACCTGAGCAATAATAACTGTTCTGAGGCATTTTTTTCCTAACTTTATCAGCCCTACATGATTGCTAGGGTCAGTGGAAGAGCAGCCTCAATTTAGAACGACTTCAGTTATTGTGGAGCTACCTGTTAAGACAGCAGCTTTGTGTTTCGACTGTCATAGTAAAATTGCATATTGTTCCTAAAGGGGGTAATCCCATTTTCTCCTTTCTTTTTTTGCTGTTACCTTTTGCACCTATTTCCTTGCCTGTTAGCCTCAGATTTAATGGCTTTTGTGACTTTAGAATAAGCCTATAACTGTAAGTGTATTCCTATAACAAAGCAATTCAGTGCTTCAGTGAGTTAGTTTTAAAGTGACCTCCCTTGTCAAACCAATTCATTAGGTTTGACCCCAGGTAAGTGGCAGGAGCACATTGCTAGATTTAGGAGAAGGAACGGAGCAGGACTTGTCCAGCTTTGGCACTACAGTGAATACCATATGATGAAACACAGCACTTGTTGCACAGTTTTTGCAGTTTGTTGCACTTTGCAACATCCACTGCTGATAGACTTGGGGGATTTTGAAGAGGGATATCTGTGCTTCATTTCTGCTTTTTTCAGGAGAATGGAATTTGGGGCTTGAAGTTGGGGCTTTTTTTCTCTTTTTTTTATTATCTAAATTAATCTGACTTTGCTTACCTCTTACTCAACAATCCTACACAGCCTTGAATGGTGACAAATTGCTCAAGTTAAGGAGAAAAGAGTTATTAATAAAAGACAATAGATACTTAACTCACTGAAGAAAAAGCTGTAATTCCAAAAGGATGAAAAATGGATTTTTTCAACATAAATTAATCTTTGCAAGTATTAGAAGTAAACAATATTCACCTCATAGTTATTTACATCTATTTTAGATCACTTGCTCTGTAAAAAATAATCACTTTTTTTAGTTATTGCAAATAATATAAATCCAAAGGAGGTTCTGTATTCCATTAGGTAATGAGAGCTAGACTGATTTCATCATAAGAATTGGGGGTTTTTCTGTCTTTCTGGTTTAGGATTCTGTGGTAAACTTAAAGTTTTCAAATGTTTGATTTTATTTTTACGTATAAATATTAATCCATTTGAAGGCCTGAATATAAAAAGTGTAGGTTTTCATACATTTCCACTTGGTACATACTTCAGATTGATGAGTTTTATATGTAGTTATTGAATTGTGTAGCTGAGGCTTCAGAAGGTATTCCTTACTGAGAGTTGCTTTCTCTGAGTCAAAGTTCTTCCTGGAAATATTTCTGTTCTCTGATGTTTCTCATGGTTTTCTGTACTTTTAACAAGAATTTTTCCCCCCCATCTTAAGTAATGGTATTGGAATATTTTCTTTTTACAAAGGGCCTTATTTTATATTACAGCCATAATTGATTTTGATATTTTACCCAGTAATATTTTACTGATTTCTCCAGATTATCCAGTAAGATTTATAACAACAATAGCCACTATATTCATGCTCCTAAAGTATAAAATAGAATTTAAACCAGGATTTTGAGCATAAACTTTGTAATGCTGGTGTAAGCTCTCTAACTTTTCATCACTATATAGGAAACCTTATACCCCTGGAAAGCAATAAGATCTTGTTGACTGCTACTATTGGAAAGACTTGATTAAAAGGAAAAAAAAAGTATATGTGTATACTAATTTTGTTTCTGGATTTCTTGATCTTGGGTCAAGTAAGGAAAAAGGGTTTAACTGTCAGCCTAGGAAGTAGGAAAGAGCAGCTCTATTTTGTATTTCAGATGAGTTAGAAGTCTGAACGTAACTGGGCTTGGTTACTAGACTAACAGTTATCTACAAGTATACACATAGTAACAATTAAAACTTACAGGTTTTAAAATGCCTGACAGGTTTGCTTATGCTAGTTTTGCCATTTAGTCTGAAAAAAACCCAAACAAACAAACAAAACAAAAAAATCCCCCCAAAAAAACACATAACACCCCCCCTAAACCATGACCCTGAAATTCTTATTTGAAAGTGTCATTTCTGCCATGTTAGACAGAAATGTTTTAATTGAAGTGAACAATTACCCATTTTAAGAGTGTTAGTCAGATGTTTTCAATATAAAGCATAGGTTTAATTTTCCTCTTCAGTAATTAACTTTTCTTTTATCCAGTTGTATGACTTTCTTGTAGATCTCCCATTGTTCCAAGGACATATTAAATGCAGTCAGACAGGAGCGCTGATTTGATGGATGTGATAAATTCTGCTAGAGTAGGGATGTCCTATTATAGATACTTTTCAATTGGACATGGATTATGCTCTGTGAATCTTGCTAACCTAATTTAAAGTTTTGATACTCTACTGTTTTAAATCCTTTGTTTTGTATCAAAGTTGATGTTTTCAAACTCAATTTAAAATTCATATATTTATCTTATTTGGCCACATTGTTTAATTTTTAGCCATGCATGATGAAATCCCCATTCTTTTGACTCTGTAGGACAAGTTAGGAAGCTGCATTGTGTATTTAGGGTTTGTATTTCATATTACTGTAATTCAGTACAATTTCCCATTCTCAGTTCTTGAATTTAAGATGTTTAGTATCATATTAAAATTATGATTTTGGTATTTGCACTTTATGTACCTTTGTTCTCTCAGCATTAAATTAAGCATGTAGTTTAATATTTAGGTTGTTTACATATGTCAAAATGTATAGCTGATTTGTTGAGAACTCTAATAGCATTTTTTTTTGCAAGTTTGGAAATGTCTTCATTCATTATAAAGCTGACTTTTTTCACCTTAATTCATTGGCTAGCTGTTTTGCCATGGGTCATAAATGCTTCTTTAATTCTATCCTTTTAGGTTCTTTGAAGACTTGAGTAAATGCCAAATTTTATGACTTGTGACAAGTTACACACAACAATAAGCTGTGGCATGATTGGAGTCTTAAAACACTTTTTATAGAAGGGAGAAAGACACGTGCAAAAAATACTCATTTTTAGTGTATGAAATGTTGTGCTGGTAGGAAAAGAAAAGGTTTGAAGGTGAGAGTTTCATTTGTGGCAGACTCCCAACCCATCCTATGCGTCTTCAGTGTGGTGCAGAATAGTATGGCCTGGTCCATGTCAGGAGACAGTAATTGTGTGTGAGGTTCTTTAAAGTCTCTGCCTATGTTTCACAGTGCTTCTGCTAGATCCAGAGTTGTTAGCCAAGGACTTGACTGGACTGAATTCCTTGCTGTATAAAAGAATTCCTGTGCCATGGAAAGCCTCTGAATTTTGGACTGGTTCATTCATCTGTCTCAGTGAGGGGACTGGCAACTTGCAGAGGAGTGGCAGGTGGGAGCAACAATTACTTTGATTCCACGGCACAGTTGTATGTGCAGTGATGTTTTAGGTGAGTCAGTCAATCTTTTATTTAAACCTTCTGAATTTATCTAGGTCCTTGTTTCTTGTTGATTAGCTTTTGCTTTAGGTTCAGCTTCTCTAATTTTAACTTCTGTCTAAAAGAGAAAGATGCCAATTAACTTATGGGACTGTTGGAAGATAACCATTCATGGGTGTGAGGTATTTGGATGTGAGGGTGGTGAGAAAACCAGCGAGATGGAAGTGGGGTTTTAGGGATCTACTTACAGACGGTGGAAGTCCTGTTGTGGACTCATCTTTGTGCTACTTAAAAAAACCCTGCAATAAACAAAACAAACAAACAAACAAAAACCCAAAACCCACCCCAAAACTGTACAGCTGTTTCTCCTAGACTGTCTAAAATTTGTTTGTAAGTCTCAGCCCTGGACTGCTGTGCAGTTTATCAGATTAATTAAGAAAGATGAATAGACTGATGAATTGCAACTGTGGTGTCCACATTTATCTTCAATGGTATTCACTTTTTCCTGTCTTGAGAAATGTTGCATGTTCTTGCTTCTGGCTTTCAAGGTGTCATGTCTTTAGCTGCTGGAAATCTGTGCATCATTATTCTTCTGGAGCACTCACAGAAAAGTAAGTGGCTTTTCATTTAATTATTTTTTCAGGAGATTGGCACTTGTGGCCATTTTTCTTTTTCTTTTCTACCTTCTCTGTTTATTCACTACATCTTTCTGCTAGAAGTATGTTAATCAGAGAGGTGTTAGAAGTTAGATGTCTAAATCTAGGACCATGAATGGTATATGACCCCTACTATACCAATTGCATTTGACACTTAAAATATTCATCTAATATTTTGATATTTCATGCTGACAGTCACAATTTCCTCTGAAGAGTTTCCTTGAATTTTCAGATGTAATGTATTGCACCTGGGCTAGTAATGATTTTTATTGTTAAGCTTAACTGTAAGGCAGTCAGTGACTGTAATTATTTTTTGAAGACCATTATGATAGTAGTCAGTTTAGCAAAAGGCATCAAGTTGTTCAAGAAATTTCCTAATTGTATTAATCTTCCCTTACAAAAAGCTAGATTTGACTATTAAAGTTTAGATGTGGAAGGAAATTAAAGCAAAACAAAAAAAAACAAACACAAATAAAACACCCAACCAAAAATCAAAACACAACAAACAAACAAACAAACCAACCAAAACAAAACAAAAACCAAAATAAACCCCCAAAAAAGAACCAATATGACAGATAATTAATTCTCAAAGTTGGGAAGAAAGCTTTTTACAAAATACAATACTAGCATCTGATGTTGACATATGAAACTTAATCACTTTAAAGAACATTTTATTATAAAATGTTCTCATATTTAGGTGACTACTTCTGAATGATTCTTTTGGAAAAGAGTTTAAAATATTACCTGAAAAATATTAGCTGTGTGTATTTGGTAACAAAACATTGAAATTTTGAATATCCAGTAAAAATACTTCCTTAATACATGTTTACTAATGTTCTGATTCAATGTGACCAAATAATTGTTTTCAGTTCCATTAGAATAAATGATTTAATTCATATGTTAAACCACGGAATTATGAATAGCAACGGATGATTTAAAGTGACATCAGTCAACTTGATTTTTATAACTGTCTAAAAATGTTGGCTAACTTTTAATAAAAGCATTAAATTTCATTTAAAAAGTACTCAATAAGTAAGTCAAGACTTCTTCGAAAAGTTTGTGAAGATACATACTAAAGAATTTTTAATTGTCCTGATGTTATACAGAAATTAGTAATTCCTCACTCAAACAGTAAGAATCTAAATGCTACAGAGGGACTGTACAATTAGTGATTAAAATATACACAGGTTTTTTGTAAGTGCTTTTGTGTTTTCTATTTCATACAAGTTGATGGTACATCTTTAAATGTATTTTAATGATATAACCTCATTTTTACCACTGTGCTTCATTCTCAAGGTTTGGTTTTTTTATTACTGGAAATACTTGATGATATTTTCCACTGATCTGAAGTTGAATGAAAAACAACTATTAGTTCAGTCTTTGGTTTTGTGGCTTTACTGCATAAACTGCACATTTTTTGAGGTGACAGTTCACTATAGAGCTCTGTCCTGTTATTCCAGTTATTCTAGAGGTTTTGTGTTCATTTGAATTTATGACCTAATCTGAAATTCAGAATTAATTATGTGTCAAAAAGAAGCCCCAAAAGCTTCTTGATAACATATTTTTCTGTGTCAGAAAACAATCAGCCTTTAATTTGAGCAAGAAAACGGAAAACTCTAAAATAAATTGTGCCTAGTTTGAGCTATTTGTTAGGGTAAACACAGAAAGCAGTTAAAGAAAGATGTGTGTTGAACATTATCGTTAATGAACTGTATTCTCCATTGAACAATGGAGATCCACAAATCAAGCATTAGGGGCCACATAACTAATACATCATAAAAATACCAGTGTGGATTTTCTTACAGTCTTTCTGAAGTGTATATCAGTTCTGATTTTCTAAAGATTACAGGATATCCTTCACCTTTCTCTTAAGAATGCTGAGTAATGCTGACTGCAGTTTCATCTGTATTTCCTGTGGGATACTTGTACTAGAAATTGTTCTAATTGAGTTCTTAGGTACCCTGTTAGTTCCCACACTTAAGGTGGATAAGAATAATGATAGATGAAAAAAGGTTAGATTGGAGAATTTTGAAGTAATGAATCCTAGAGGGAACACCATTTCTGAGCAACTAGAGGTATGTTTGTATTTGTTAATTCGGTTGTGCTCTGAGACGAGTGAAATTAAGTCCCTGAAATATAGGACAGGAGAGAGAAACAAGTGGTAATAAAGAAGCTGAAATTGCTAAGGGGAATTAAGGGAATATCCAGAAATCTGATACTAGAAATGGTAAGTGAAGGTAAATCTGGAAGGCATTTCCAAGGAGAAATTATGTTATACACTTAAAAAAAAAAAAAAAAAGTCATCAGATAATTAATTTGACTTTGACAGTGATGCCTTTCTTGAGTTCTTGCTGAGTATATATGCAATATTATTTAGGCAGGCCAGTGCTTTTCTGTATCTGTATTTTAAGAATAAGGCCTTATTTTGAGACTTAAACCTGTCCAGGTTTAATTGGATAATTCTCTGTGTGTAAAATGCTTGACTGTGAAAAAGAATGAAATAAGCTTGTGGGCTATGAAATGACCTGTAGGTTATGAAAGTGTGGTTGGAAAATATATTCCATATTGGAAACATTTACATATAATCATTAATGCTAAAATTTTTTTCAAATCTACTTTCTCTAATTTGCAGTAGTAATTGATGTTTCTCAAATTTCCTCTTGAAGGGAAGGCTTAAACAGGAGAGTTACTTTTTCTAAATTGTGTCCCATTTGGCTGTAGTGCATCTTACTTCTATAGAAGTTCAGGATCCCTGGGAAATCTAAGCATGGGTTTTACAAACAAAAACAAATTAAATGTGAAACATTAAAAGTTGGTAGAAAATTTTAAATTGCCTTCTCCTGCTGTTTGCCATCATCTTCTGTATTTTATTACTTTTTCATTACTTTCTTTACTGTTCGGCCTTGATGTCATATTTTATATGCCAAAACACCCGCGTTCCCTCTTAAAGTACTGCACTTGGGTGCAGCTGGGTTAACGGGCCTGTGAAATCAGAGTGTAAATTCCTCAGCATTTGAACCTTTGGAAACTAAAATACTGTGGCAAAGTGCAGTGTCTCTGTAGCCCGTCGCCAGGTCTGTTAGCTCGTGGTTGAGAGCGAGGCACCCCAAAATGTCAGGCAGCGGGGCTGTTGCCGCGAGGTAATTGGGAGCAATTAGCCGGGCTCCCTGCCGGGCACATCTCCGTTGCCTTTCTCCTCTTTGCCCTTCCCCCTGTGCTGCCGCTGCAGGGCGACGAGTTGTGGCAGTGATGGTTCTCTGGGAGGCTGTGTGACCGTGTGTGACTGTGACTGTGTGTGTGTGTGTCCGTGCGGGCGCCCCGGCCCCCTCCCCGCCCCGCCGCATTGTGGAGGGAGGGACCGCGGCCCGCAGCCGCCTCCGCCGCCGTGCGGGGCCGGGCGCTGTCCGTGGTGCTGAGCCCGGCGGGGACGGGCGCTGTCCGAGGTGCCGAACCCCCCGCGGGGCCGGGAGCTGTCCGAGGTGCTGAGCCGCGCCGCCCGGGCGGCACCATGGTGTTCGCTCCAGGTAAGGGCAGCCGCTTCCCGAGCCCAGCCGGGGAGCCCAGCGGGAAGGGCCCGGCCGTGCCGGAGAACTGATGCGGGGAGGAGGGTGGAGGGTGAGTCCACAGCTGCCAGCAGGCAGAGGCAGGTAGGTTCAAAGAAGGCGGCTTAGCTTAGGATGTGCTTGGCTGTGGAGCCGGAGGTTGTGAGGGTCACCCCTGTGGTTCCTGTCAGGGAGAGGAGCCTCCTGTACAAAGTGTGCAGAGGACAGCTTGTCAGACTGTACAAAAGGGTCAGGAAGGGGGACATGGCCTTAAACTGACTGGAGATGAGTCCCCCTCGGCATCCACAGTAGTGAGTGCAGATGAGACAATCTGTGAGACTCATGGAGATATTTTACAAATTTCAATTCCTCCCTGTCCCCCCCAAAAAATATTTGAAGAGAACAGAAAGTTTGTTCAGTCCCATTTTTACTGGAACAAAATTGAAGATTTCAGAAGGAGTTCATGTCTGCTGTGAGACCTCACTCTACAAGGGTGCAGAATCTCTGCTGCATGGTATATATCAGCTAACCCATAGAAGAAGGGAAACTACAGAGAATCTGCATTGGATGTCATACATTCTGCTTTGAATTAGGCAGTTCATTTTTCAGAAAGGAGTGAAAGGCCTGGTAGCTCCAGTATATAAATGTGTAGTGAAATGACTTGAAAATAACTTGTTTAAAGATGTATAACTGTCAGTAAAATAGTGGGTCAATAGAAAAGGGAAGGTAGAAGCTGCAACTTGACAATGAATAACTATTAATACCTTTGTTTTGCAAAGCTAACAGAAGTTTTGTCTTCTTTGAAGTTCTATAT